GTGGCAAGGTGAAAGTGATGTAAGACTGCGAGGTGGCCCGTAGCATTTACTAGTTAGCAGTTAATATAGAAGTGTTGTAAGACTGCAGGGTGGACCGTAGCATTCACTAGCGGTCAGTTAGTATGGGAAGTGTTATAAGACTACGCGGTGGCCCGTAGCACTCACCGGTCCCTATGGAGCGGTGAGATTATGGCAAATCTGTGATTGGCTCACCGATTTCTTCAGATAGTTTGGAATCAGGATTTGGTTGGACGCGGGAGACCGGGTATGAGATAAGACTGCATATGGTCTTGTAGTGTTCAGTTTAGCATCGGGTTAGTGTCGTGATGGTTTGGGTAATAATTGTTAGTTTAGGTTTTTGTTCGAAAGCCGCGTGGGGCGACTGTGTGAGTGTATTTCATCTCAACAATCGGGTGGGAGTCTGGTATTTTAGATAGTTAGCAGACAAATTAGGACCAAGGAGGTATCATCTACTTTAGTGAAGCGACAAGGAGACAATATGATGTTTCAAGCAGTGGTAATGCTTTGCTATTCTTGCGTGTGGGGTAGATTGTTGGTCGGGAGACGCTAAGCCTCTTGCAATGGGATTAAGTAATTTCAACGTAATTGATTTTACCTATGACACAACTCTCGTTTGAGTCTAACCGTTGTAGGGATGGATCTTCTACTCGAAGGATTATATGAGCCATCTGTTAAGTATGGGCTTTCTGCATCTAGTTATGGACATTGAGTTGTTATGTTGGTAGCATCAAGATGTTCATGGTTGGAAGTGCTAAGTTTGTTCTATCTTTTTAGATCTTTGCATGGAGTGGTTTCATCGTGAGTGGTCTGTCGGGGAGTTAGACCAATGTAGATTCCAGGTTTCCGAAAGGGTAGAAGTGGTTTCGTTCACTGGCTAAGGGTTTGTTCTTCTTTGGGTTGGAAGTTTTGTCCGAGTTCAGTTGTCTCAGGAAGGTCGTTTTATGATTAGAATGTTCAGTTGTGTTCCTCGAGTTATCTAGTGTAATCTGAGTATTACTAAGGAGCGATTTCGAGGAAAAAATCTTATGTAAGTAGGGGAGAGTTGCAACACTGTTTTTTGGATTTCTCCAATATTTGGGGATGTGGCCTAATCTTCAGTTGGTGTGAGGCTTAGGGCCTTGAGGAAGAAGGTATCTGGCTCTTTTTGAATGTGGGTGTTATGGTTTTAGTGATCCAAGTGTTGAATGGTGTTTTCGGAGCTCAAGGGTATAACTGTAATTATCGGTTTAGTCCTTTATGAATTTTGGGTTTTTGTTAGTGAAGTTTTAGGGCTAGGGTGGGTTTTTATAAGCATAGAGCTTCTCACCACCTTTCTGTGGATATACGGTTCGTTGGAAATGGACCAAAGAAGAAGACGTTAGAGCCATGTGAAGTTTAGGGTCTAGGGGTTCAATGAGTATGCGGGGTGTACTCACTGTCAACGTTTGGCGTAGAAGGATAAATGGTCGCGAGTGGTTTGTGAGTACATCGGGCGTACTAGGGGGTACGCGGGGCTTTCTCGCTTTAGAGCAAAACCCTAATTTCAGGGTTCCTACTCTATGTAAACAACATTATACCATCCCTTGGTCATTTTTAGGTTATCCTCCACCTCTTTTGACATACATAAAACCCTAGAGTGCCTTGGTTGAGGTTTGAAGCTTGAAATAAGGTCCTCTGTGGTTTGTGCAAGAGAAGAATAATGGTGAAGAATCAATCTTTGGAGAGGAACCTAGACATCCAATGTTAGCATCTTCATTTCGAGACTTTAGAGGCCTAAAGTCTCTATCTTTGCTACTCATTGAATATATCTACTTTTAGGTTGGTTTATGGCCATTTTAGTCCCTTTTGCTTGGTCCTTATGATCTAGGGTTGTTTTAGGAGCTCAATCTAGTAGATCTGGACATTTTAAGGGCCCCTCATTCATTAAGGTGCAAGCTTTGTGGAGTTTTTGAGTTCATACATGCGTTAAGATTATCCATTACGCTCTTTTGAGCTTTAGAAACCCTTAAAGCCATGCATGCATGTAAAGTTGCCAACTTTACATCAGAAGTCATCCATAGGAATCAGACTAGAGAGTTTGGAGCAAGGGCTGAAGTGATTAAGTGATTAATGAGAAGAAAGGGGATTAATGAGAAGCAAGGGCTGCACGCACTGGCCCCAAATGGTGTATGCTGGGTGTAGCAGCGAGTACACGAGGCGTACTCGGTTTGTTTGGGAAGTCTTGAAATGTTGAACATTTAACCGTTGACCTTTGACTAGAAGTTTGAACAAAGTTGATCATTGTATGTTTTGGGCCTAATTTGGGATGTTTGGGCCAAACTGGGCCTGGTGGTGTCATTTCGGGTTTGGGCAATCGTTTGGGCTTGAATTGGATGGGGTTTTGTTGGTCTTGTTGTGAATATGTGTTTTGGATTAGGAAAAGTAAATGGACTTTAGGGAAAGGCTTACATAAGGTTTTGGGCCCAATTTGAAAATTAGACCAATAGTAGGCTTATGGATGTTATGGTTTTGGGCAAGGCCTCAGTTTTGATTCATGTTGGGTCAGGGGTAAAATGGTCATTTTACCCCAAGTATGGATTATGGATCTTAGGGTGTTATTTTGGCATTGATAGCTTGGGGAGTCGTCAGAGCAGCATCTAAGGATTTCTTTTAGTGAGCTTCTGTATTCAAGGTGGGTCTCTTCAATGTTCTATGGCTCGAAGATACCAATGCTGGCCCTTTGGTTTATGTATTGTAGGAAGACCCGGGGTTACCCTTGGCAGTTGTATGAAATACAAGGAGATGGCTCTTGGCAAACTGTATGCAAGACTAGATTTTGAACTCTGGTTGTTAATTAGTTAGTAATTGTAGATCGTATGCTAGTTGTCTTTGTCATCCTTGCATGGAAGACCAGGAGGTGGTTCTTGCCACTTTTCTGTAAGACCCAAGGTTTTGGCCCCCAGCTTGGCATGGAAGAACACGAGGCGGCTTGTGGCATAATGGCTAGACTATGGATGACATATAACACTTTTATTGATTATGATATATGTATGATATGTATGGCTCGATCATATAAATGTTATTTATGGATCGTTTAGTATGTGTGGTTTGCGGTATTTGGGGATCTCACTAAGCTTTATGCTTACAGTTTGTGGTTTATGGTTTCAGGTATTTCCGGTTCGGTAAGGAAGGGCCCAATTTACTCGTAGCGTATACACCTATGTTTTCCACAATATGTGATCTTGGGAATGAACTCTAATAAATTTTTTGTATTGAAATGTTTTTCAATGTTTAGACAAAATTACTCTAGTGTTTTAAATATAATAAAAATGTAATATTTACCCTTGATTTTTGGGAGGTTACAATTACTCCTTTCACCATGATCAATCCCCACTAATATGATGTTTTGTGGTCAGTTCTAGAATTTTGGCGACAAATCTAATGAGATATGATAAAACATGCTAGATCTATAGTTGATCCATGTAGCATAGGGTAGATATACATGATCCAATGACTGATGAGACCAGATCTACCAACTCCGATGAGTAACGAGGATCCACCACAACCGTCTCTATCTAGATCTGGTTTGTGTTCAATTCTTTTATATCTGTTTTTTTCCGATTTCCTCCAGCCACTATCTTCATCTCCGGCCATCACCCCCACCACTGCTCTACGACCAATGCTCGACACACCTTACACTACAAAAACCTCCATCTTCATCCAGATGTGCACAATCTTCATTTTTTGAGGTAAATGCTTGAATGATCATTTATTTGAAATAGATTTGACATATCTGATGTGTATTGTTTGTTTATTTTCTCCAATAAGATTTAATTTTAAGTTGTGTATGCGTAAGCTTTTATTTAAAGAGGCACTAGTCTCTAGATTTGTTTTTATTAAACTGTGAATCAAAGTTATTAAATACTCTATTAAACCGTGAATTTGTATGGTGTACACAAGGTGTTTGAAAATGTTTCATCAAAATCAAGTATATTTTTAAGCAATGAATACTGCGAATGAGAGTCCTAAACTACTTTATTAATAAGCGAACAAAATTATTGGAATGTTAGTTTTAAGTTGAGAATATGGTTTTGAATGTATAATTTTTGTGCATTAAACTATGAATTTTGTGTATTAAATTATGAATTGATTGTGTTAAGTTGTGATTTGATTGTATTAAACTATAAATTAACTGTATTAATCTGTCGTTTGAATTTGTTAAGCCGTGAATTGAATGTATTAAGTTGTGACTTTTTTTTAGTTATCTTTTGCTTATGAAATAGGCGATGAGAAAAACATTATATACAAATATGATTTTATCTAATTTTGTATAAAGTATATAAAATTTAAACTATAGATACTACAAGAAACGAAACCTATAGGGACGACAATTTTCGTCTCTATAGATACTAAAGTTGTCCCTATAGATGGTGGCAACGACAAGTCGTCCTTATAAAGTTCGTCTCCATAGCCTCGTCGCAACAGATTATTTTTGTTGTCGTTGTACATATCATCGCAATAGCTTACCTATAGAGACGACATATTGTCTCTAAAGGGTTCATCGCTATAATTTTCTGGTCGCCATAGATAAAGCTATAGAGACGATATGTTGTCCCAATAGAAACAGCTATAGAGACAACATGTCGTCTCTATAGATAAAGCTATATACCATGACATACACTGACCTATAGCAACGACAAATCGCGGTAGTAGATTAACCTATAGAGATTATTTGTCGTCCATATACATTTACCTATAGAGAGGACATGTTGTCTCTATAGGTATGCCCACAAGCTTACACCCTGCTCTTTTTTTCAGTGTATTTTTCGAGTTTTGACAATCCCAAAATAGTTAAAGCAATATATTTACAAAATAGCTAAATCTGTAAATTTAATTGCAATAAATAGTGTTAAATGATTTTATTATATGCTATAAACAGTACAAATTGAAGGAAGATTCCCAAAAATTACATGTTTTAAAATTATACTAGTTCAGATCTACCAAACTTTGCATCAAATTCTTCAGTTGTTTATAATCCCAATTTCAGAAAACCTTCCTGCAAGTGAACATTTGGAAAATGTTGCAATAATTACAGAGAGATTGCTTTGCTAACTAATTGTAATAATCACCTCCAATAACTTGTAAATCTTCAAGCATAGTACATGTTGAGCCTCCAATAACCAACACCTGCATTTTCAAATTTAAATTACAAAGTGAGAAGAGCATATCTACAAGAAATGTATCTTTTTTTCCATTATTTATTGTCTGCATAAAGTGTTGACCGGATATATGATTATTTAAAATATGGTGAAACCTAACTTTCTCTATTAAGCTCTTTTTAAACCATAACTACAATAAAAAAAAAGGAAGGAATCAAATTCTTTCAAGAACGGTCCATTCCATTCCACCACACAAACCAAATAGAATTTTTTTTTCAATTCGATGGAATGAACCATTGCATTCCTTCCCCGATTCCATCATACCAAACACTACCTAAAAGTTTACCTTCCCCCTCCTATTCCGCCTCTTGTTAAAACAGAAACAACCACCACCACCTGATCCAGACTCATATCCCCTATATAACAAAAACCAAAACAATTGTTACCAATTATTGCAATCTGCAAAAGGGTATTTCGGTCTTTTATCTTCATGCAAGAAAAAAAGAACTAGTATGTTGACCACTTACTTGCTTGTTAAACCACCATCATGCAACAAGCTCGGTGACATCGGAAACTGCCGCCCAATATGTTCCTTCAAAAGGGTATTTCCATCTTTTTTCTTCAAAAGATTAAGTTCACATGTCAACTCATCTTCCTATTTCTCATGTGGAAACATCTGCCGCTAGTGGTCACCGCCATCTTGCGGTAATACCTAATTCCGTTCCGGTTTTGTAACCACACAATTTCTAACCGCTGTTTGTGAATGATCGATTCTATTCTTTGGACTAGATTCCCAGTTTTGGGAGGTTTCCACCTTTTGCAAAAAGTGGAGATGCAACTCTAGAATTGATGATTTCGGACATTTTTCCGTCAGAATCATTAAAGCTTCTTTGCGGTACCTTTTGTGAATCTCGATTGGGTTTTGATGTGGGCCCATCATCTGACTTCTATATTGCGGTGGAGAACCATTTCAAATTAGTTTGTGATGCTACTAAGAAACCTTTCAGCTTGACTTTCTATATCTTTACTAGATTAAATCATGTCCCGTTAAGTCTATTGAGTAAAAAAACAAATAACACTTAAGTTAGAATAATCTAATTTATGTATTTCATGCGCCCTATTTACAATTTAGTTCAAAGAGATTTTGCTTAAAAAGAAAAGTTAAAAAACAATTGAAAGGGAAAGATGTTTGTCCGATCAACATAATAAGTAAAAGTAGAACTTTGAAATGTAGAAACAGAATAGGAAGAAAATTAATTATCAAGTCAAATCATTAACTTTGTGATATAAATTTAAAAAGTTGAAACTTTAAAAGTTTAGATTAAAGTCACATACACAGCTCTCAACGTCAAATGATTCTCAAGAAAGTACACATCCATTGTAAATAGGCTGGAAATGACAATTGTATAGGTTTATTGCCATAATAAATTTATATTTATACATAAGAAAACAAATGGATATGCAGTTTGTTCATATTCCAAATGTCTAAAAAATTTCTATCCATTTCAGTTGTAATATGAAAAAAAGAGTCATAGAATAAAGTCAAAGATCATGGCTATTTATTTTATTAAAACGGCATGTATAATTCTACTACTTAGGATAAAGAAAGGTAGTTATTTTTCATACACAAACAAGAAATTAGGTGAAAATAAAACATGAAAGGCTTGACGTTTACCACTCGATCCATCCTCCGATTTATTTCAGTCTTTATTCAGAATGAAAAAGGGAATAAGGTGAGACCTTAAGCTTACTTGAGGAGGGCATTTTCGTCCTGTGATTGTAGCACCTGGTTCTTGGTACGTATTCTTTGTAATTAACTCTTTAAATATTTGCATTTTTGGCCTTGGACTCGGCGAGTTTAAGGACCAACTCGCCGAGTAGAAGCGGGATAAGACGCGAGACTTAAGTGATGGACTTGGTGAGTCGGATCCCGGACTCGGCGAGTAGGTGTTGTTCGGACAAAAAGCCTAATCTTAGGGTTTGCACCCTATTTAAGAAATGTTATGACGGCCATATTGTCCCTTATGCTCCCCAAAACACTTCTCATTGAAACCCTAGCCGTTTGTGCTTAGTTAAGGCCATTTTTGGGACCAGTAGATCCAGGGATTTTACTACATTTTCAGCAACTTCAAGGTATGATGCTCCTGTCTTGACTCATCTATGTGTTTATTCATCTTTAACTTGGGATCTCTTTGGATTTCTAAGTCATATTTCGGATTTGGGAGTGTTGTGTGGGTTTTGACTTCAGATCTGGACCTTAAGAGGGGTCTCATGGCATAAAGGTGCCAACTTTAAGGCCATGAGAGCCCCATGCACATTGTAGGACACTTTATATGGAGTTTTAAGCTAAAAACCCTATGCATGTGCATCAAGTTTGGAACTTTACGTATAAAGTGAACATTAGGAGGCCAGATCTATGGTTTTGGTGTGTTAGATCTCATTTAAATCGATTGCATGGATTTGGTCAAGATTGGACTCGACGAGTCCGTTCTTGGGACTCGGCGAGTCCAAGGCATAAAGTCCCATATCTGTTAAGGGTCTAAAGAACTTAGTTGGGTTTTAGAAGGACTATAGAAGGTCAACAAAGGGTGACCCAATGTTCTGGACTAATCCATTATTCTGGATATTCATGGGACTCGGCGAGTGCATGAGCAGACTCGGAGAGTCCAAGAAAATCTTCTTGTGGATGAAGATGAACTCGACGAGCTGTTCATACAACTCGGCGAGTCAAGGACAAGACCTGTTTATTAGTTGAAGATGAACTCGACGAGTTGTTCATACAACTCGGCGACTCGGATGAAGATTCAGTTAATTTCCATTTAGAAGGAAAACTCGTCGAGTCATCGCCTAACTCGACGAGTAGAGATGAGTGTAAGAACAAATGGAAGGATAGTGACTCGACGAGTTGGCGGGCCAACTCGGCCAGTCAGGTCAACTGGTAATTGACTTTGACTTTGACTTGGTCGGGGGTGAATTGGTCATTTTACCTTAAGGACAATTAGTAGTGTTTGATGGAATGTTTTGTGGGAATTACAGCCGGAGGATTTCCAGAGCAGTAGCAGCAGATAGACAGTTCCCACACAGATCATTAGTTACTTCGAGGTGAGTTACCTTCCAGTAGCGGTGGGTCTACGGCCACAATGTCGTCCCATTAGTAGGAGTTGTATGCTTAAATGATTGTCTATATGATATTCATCTAGGTTCGCTACTACCTTATATGTTTACATGCTAGTATGACATGATGCTATGTGCTAGTGACAGTAGGGGAGATAGTCCCCAGTATCCGGTCGAGAGGACCGAAGGGGAGACCAGTACCCAGATATTCTAGTTAAGATCCGGTCGAGAGGACCGAAGGGGAGGCCAGCATCCAGATATGCTAGCCAGTATCCGGTCGAGAGGACCGAAGGGGTAAGTCAGGAACCCAGATATGCCTGACAATATATGTATGTTATGTGGTACGATGGGGGAACTCACTAAGCTTTGTGCTTACAATTTTCAGTTTTGGTTTCAGGTACCTCTTCATCGAATGGGAAGGAGCTGGCGCGGTAGCGGTAGCGGCACATCATACAAACACACTGTTTTCCGCTTTACGAACTTGTTCTTGGATTTGCACTATGATATTTGGATGTTGTCATATTTTGGTTTCAAACACGATGTATGCTATAAAATGGCTTGATCAGACAATGTTTTATTTACAAATGTTTTCCAAAGTATTGATTTAAAAACGAAAATTTTGAGCGTGAAATTTGAGTCGTTACAGTGATCCTGTCATTAGTTCATGTAAACGAAAAAGGGAATAAGGCCCAGAGTAGATCTATAGTTTATATCTTATACAAATAGGCTTTTTATAATTATAATAATGATATTATCAAAACAAATTTCAACCTCCAAATCAGCAATAGAAATAGAGCCTGTTATGGTGCCAAAGCATCAAATTTGATGCATGTATCAGAATTAAAGATTAATTCAGATACAAGTTTCTCAAAACTTGAATTTTAATCCCATATATCATTATCAATGTTATATACAAGGATTAAACTAGGTTCATTGTCACATACACAAGTTTGTCCTATAATGTACAACACAAGTAGGAAATAAATGCATATTTGATCCAAATCGAACAATTACTGGTAATAATAGGTTAAGTGATCAAAACTTACACAATCGTATATACAAAAAAGCCTACAAGATCTACTGGTGATATCATGAAATTATAACATCCTTTTTATCAGTTTTACCTTGTACGTTACTTTACACAATCCGATATCAGAGATATTTATTGGTATATAAGTTTGATAATAAGAAATCGCATGTAGATATTCATCAATGTAACAAAGATTTCAAATCTATGGTGCACCTTTATTGAAATCCTCATGCTAGTAATGTACAAACATAGAGTAGACATAGAGTCGTTGTGCAGTGGACTGCGGGTGATAAAATGGCCGTTGATTTTGTATTCGGAAAGCAGCAAATCGCCGATCAAAGGAGATAGAATAGTTGTTGTTGTTGATGAGGCCGGAGTTGAAGGCGATCGTCCCCTATGCCAAGGGGTGTTCAGCGTCTACCAGTGGCCGATTGAGAGAGAGGAAAATGTGAAAATAGTTGCGATTGAACGAGAGAAGGTGATGACATATTCACGATTTCGGGAGTAGAAACCTATAGGACGGTCCATACCCCTTAAATATTCTGATTAAACAACAAATTAAAAAATATATAAAATACATCAAATTTATTTATTTTGGGGAAGATTTGTCGTCCTTGTATGCTTTCCTTATCCCGCGAAAATTCCCGCCTAAATTGTCGGGACAACATGTCGTAGCTACATCTTTTTCAGAAACCCGCCAATTATCCGCATAACTTGTTGCAACAACACGTCGTCTCTATAGTTTAACGAGTTAAAAAATGTTGGTCAACCCTATAGAGACGACATGTCGTCTCTATAGATGATCTATAGAAACAACTTTTGTGGTCCCTATAGGTATCGTCCCTATAGATGTTTATTCTTGTAGAGTATGAAGGTATAAATGGAAATTTTAACTTGAGAATATGGTTGTGAACATATAATTTTTGTAATTTAAATAGTGAAATTATTATGTTATGTTATGAATCAATTGTATTAAGTTGTGAAATTTTAGTGAATTTTATATTAAAATATAAATGATTTATGTATAAATGTTTATATTAGTTTTCTTGTGAATATATTAATTTTTTGTGTTGTATAAATATATAAGAATAGATTAGTATTTATAAATATTTTACACTAAACACTAAGGTAGTAGATTAATTGGTTTATTAAACCGTTAATATAATATTTAAGTTGTTAATCCATGAATTTATTTACATATATGATTTAGAAGGAATGATCCTTACGACATATGTGGTTGGTAGGGGTGTGTGGTAGTTGGTGATGGATGTGGATGTAAAGTATGATTTGATTTTTTTGAATATGTGAATTAATGTATAATAAATTATATTAAGGGGTGAATTTTATATAATAAATTGATAATTAAATGTATTAAGTTATGTATTTTATATAATTTTTGTGTTAAAATATTAATGAATGTATGCATGAAAATAATAGATTGTTAATTAATAAATTAATATGTTTACTAAGTGATACATATTTTAAAGATACCTTCAATTTAGAAGAAAGAATAATAAATTTGTCAAGACATATTATTTTAATTAAATTTTATATTTGACTGCAAAAATGAAAAAGTATGTGTTTAGAGAAAATGAGAATTATAATGTTTGTTCTACTAAACCGTGAATACGATAAAAAAATATTAATGAATTTGTTGTTAGTCTCGCAGTGGTTCAACGGTGGTGGTGCTCGACCGGCTGTCGTCCGATGATAAGTGATAACTAATTATAAACTTGGGAAATGGAGAGTTTTCTGATAATCATTTATGATTATAAACTATCCGGCCGTACCGGTAT